ATCTACATCTTTTTCTAAATATTAGAAGACTCAGTGAGCAGCCAGTTGATTGTAGCTCAGTTGTGCCGTATGTTGTCATAACATATGTATAAGGTACTCATCCTAGTTAGTTAGTTAGTTCAGGATTCACAAACTTAGCTTTACAGAGTGTATTGCCCATTTAGTCAAACCATCAGAGTGAGGATGATATTGGATATTGTGTATTTCCGTACATCTAACACTCACCGCAGTCGTGCAAACAACTGGTTATTGAAGCATGCTCCTTGATCTGTGTGGGTCCTTCTAAATGATCCAGATCATATTATACACTGTTCAGCTAACACATCAGTAAGAGACTATGATAAAATATTGACTAATGTATAAACTTTGGTTCACTTGGTAAAGCAATCAATAATGTTCAGTACTGTTTTCACTTTTGGGAAAAAGACCTAATTAATGTGGGTTGTACCCTGTAAAAGAGAACAGAATTTTCTGTGTTGTAGCCAGTTTTGCTTTTGACCAGTATATGTGGTACAATATTTATGCCATTTTTCATTGTGTTTGAAATTTTTGGGGGAATTTAATTTTTCATCAGGAACTCTGGACAACGGCCAGTCAAATAACAATATTAGGCCTCTTATTCTACTGATAATAAACAACTTGACAGCTGAAGAATTCTTTATTCTTGTATTTTGAAATACCATTACAGTGGTTTAATTTTGGCTTTGAAAGTTGAGGGGGGGGCAGTTTTTGTACTTGGGGTATGCATGAAGACATTACCTCATGTTTCCCTATTAAATTAAGCTAATGTATCTTTATAAATATAGGTTGCTTGTGGCGAGTTAAAAATAAAACTCAAACACCACGTACACATAACTGAAATGCAGTTATTTTAGTGAAACACACAGACCATTGCATGGTGAGAAATGAAGAAGAACACAATTAAATAACTTCGTCTTAAAAATAGCTGCATTTATTTTAATTCCCAGCATATAAAGTTTCGCTTACACGTAAACACAATATTCATAGCCATAGCTGTAAATTTCATGTGACTGATAAGATTTTCAGTTTATTCATTCCAAGAATGCTGATGTCAAAGCCGAGTTCAACAAACAACTACTTTCATGCTGTAATTGAAACCTCTTATAGATAACTTCAATATGACCTCTCCATTCATGTCTAGCTTACCCCACTCACCAGAGAAGAGTTTGTGCCTATAGGCTAGAATGATGGTGTTGCTTGGAGCACTTGATATACCACAACATCTACCAATGTTCTGGCTACTCCTCTATCAACCAGGAGTTCTTTCTTTTTCTCTTGTACATTGACAGGCATGTACCAAGACACACCCAGCATCAAAGATTGGACTGACCACCACACTTTTTGGTGCAAGTTTTTAATTGCATTCCCCTAAGTCAGTGGCCAGATCTGAATTGGGCTCCTCTAGTTTGCCAGAGCTACAGCTACATTATTCACTGCTTGCTGTTGGCTCTCCTGAACCTGTTGCACCATTGGTTGCAACTGGTAATCTTTTCTATCTTGCAGCTTGGCAAGCTAGAGGTAGTTCGGGCAAAAGTGAGTCAATGTTTCATTGGCAAAGCATGTTCTTCACTCATCTGCTCTCAGTATTTCTGAGGTAAGAACCTGTTTGAAATTCACTGTAATTTGAAAAATATAAAACTTGGTGCTATACTCTAGTGTTAAATATTAATTTTTAAGACAGCAAGTATATTTCTAGTCTAGAATAAAAATAATGACTGTTTTTAAACTTAACATCTTTTAATAATCGTGTGACACACACAAAAGTTATGCATTTAAATGGCTGTCTTAAGTAACTGTAGAGAATGTATATCTTCAAAGGCTAAATATTCTATTTGAAATAATGTGTGAAACAGAACCAATAAACTTCTGTAGCAACAAAATTTACCTTTTTTTTAATAGTAGAATATTTATTGGTGTAAGCTATATTTTTAGTATATTAATTTAGATTTTTGTTAACTAGAAAGAGCATGCCATTATGTTATGATGATGATGTAATGATCTAGAAATAGTATGTAGTAAGTAGGAAATGAGTATGATATAAATACGAGTAAAGTGAAGCAGTAAGTAAATTACAATGTTTCATCAGACTAACCTGGCATTATCAGATAAAACAACTAGAAGGAATGAACTCATGATCTATTCAATATGAAAAAATAGTGGATGGATACATTGGTATTTGATTGGTTGAGCTTAACAAGACTGCAAAACATAAAAAAGATGGTCAACAGTTGATGGTACATAAGGAATCTTGATGGTAAAATCAACTGGAAATCACCCAAACTGATATATATAACTAGAAATTATGTGAAAGGAAAGATTGTGGAATGTTTATTAATCCAAAGGATGTCAAACTTCGAACACCACTGAAGGTCAGTTTAAACTGAACCCTCTCTCTGACAGCATATGCATGTCCTCTTCTCTTGAATGAGAAGTTCCAATTCCCGTAACAGAATGTGTCTTCAGACAGAGGGTTCATCCTAAATTGATATTTGATGGTGTTTGAAGTTTGGCAACCTTTTACAGTTTTTCTTTTGACATAATTTCTAGTTTATATATTCATTTGGCTGATTTTCAGTTTATTTTATAATCAAGATCTCTCATGTTTAGAAAAATTGCATTAATTGTTTGACCATTTTCAACATTTTTTTATGTTTTACAGCCTTGTTACTCTCAACCAATCAAATACCAATGCATCTGTTAGTTTTTGTATTATCTATGTCATGAGTTCACTCCTTGTAGTTGTACCTGATGAGGCCAGGTTAACATGGTGAAACATTGTAACCATGCATAGATATTACACTCTGTATATCTGACAATAAACAAGTTTTAAGTTTTACATAACAGGGTACTTCCTTTAATTATGAGTTATGAGTTATTCAGTTCAGTGAGTATTAGTCACTGTATTTATGATTGATTGATTATTGAGGAATTCTAGACATGAATGTATAACTGAAAGTAAGCTAGGCATACTTTAATTTTCAGAAGCCTGTATTAGTTGTGGAGTTGATGTGGAAAAATGTATTTATGAAATTAGGCCTACAAGTGAACATGGCTGTTGATCCATAGATTTAACCAAAAACATTTGAATGTCTTGCAGTGAAGCCCCTGCCCTTTTAATTGTGGCTTTGCCTTATGCATTTTGTATATATTACATATAAATCATTCCTAGTGTGGTTGACTGCCCCTAAGTTTGTTTTGTAGCAGCTCCTTACTCCAACAGATGCCTAGTGGTGCAAAGGAACAAAATTGTTTTTATAGTGTTCACTACCAGTGGGATCCACATTTTACATAATTGCATGATTTTATGTTCTTCCCAATTATAAATGCTCATTGTGAAGATTTAATTGATCAGAAAACAGTTTAAATGAAAGATGAAATCATTAATTTTTTTCTAAAATACCTAGGAGACCCTAATAGTAATTAATTGGATTCATTGGAGCATTGGAGGTATTTGTTTTTAATTTTTGCATGTTTCATTTGTTATTATGACCCAAAAACAATTTTGTGAATATATGGTATGTAGTTTATAAAAATTGTTTCAAAAACTGTCCAACAGTAATTTTTGTATTAAGACACAAGGACAAATGATTTGTAAAATACGTATGTAAGATGTGAATAAGTTAAAATCAACCAGAAGAAAAGAGATTGACACAGTTGTTTGTTTTTGAAATAATGAGTGCTTTTTATTGACAGATATCAGTATAGTTTGTGAAGTGTGTAATCCTTTTTAAAATGGCAGATTTTTTTGTATGTAATGGCAAATCAGAATGTGATCCTGACAAGTCCACTGCACAAACACAAGGCAATCTGTTTGAATGAATGCAACTGATGAACTAATTCTGCTTGAAAATATTTTGAGATTTAAGCTCTGCTGAGCTTCCCAGAATGCCATGTTGCTCATGTAAAGAGACTAGTCAGATTTTTGAAAAAGGGGAACCAGAGTTTACAATGTATGTTTTTCTGAATACGTCCAGTGTGTCAACAGTAGCGAAAAAGTAATTAAAAAATTATCTAGTGCACTGGTTACATGCTTGTTCTTATCTTGAGTGTAGTTAACATCTGAGTATCTCCCTGTTTTCACAGAACACCTAAGCTTGGGTGTCCTGTACTAAAATAAAATAAAAAATCCCAGAGATATTTGAAATTGAAACCTTAGAATTGATTTAATTGTGTGAATTAGGGTTTGGTATAAATTAACCTTCTTAGTTTGTGAAGGTCACGAACCAAAGATATCATAATTGGTACAGATAACTCATATGATGCAATTGTTTTCTTAATTACTATTTAACTTAAATTAATTAGCTACAGATTTTTGTGTAAGGTTGTATTTCATTTGTTTAGAACCAGGACTGTGCATGTCATGCAGTGTAATAAATGCAACTTAATTAGTTTTTAAATTATTAACTAAATACTGTGGTTTTGAAGATATTGGAATTAACCATTTTTATTAATTTATGGTATTGCAAGTTCTTTGCATACTTAAGTATATCTTAAGTAAAATACATAAAAACTATTTTGAGAATAATTAATTAAAGTAATTGCAATAATTAGTTAAAGTTGATTTTATATTTAAAATAATTGGGTAAAGAGTTTCTAACTTTCTATCAAATACAATCTATGGTTCTCTGATTTTTTTTAAAGCTATAAGAACATGTGTTAATTTTGGAATTGACCCAAATTTGTAAAAAAAATACTACTTGTCAGTCACTAAATGAATATTTATTAATTAATTTCTACAAACATTTATCCTATCCCGATTTTTGTGTAGTCCCTGCTGTTTCCCTTTGAACATACAACAGAATTACTTGTTTAGGTAAATCTATGAAGTAATTCTTACAAGATGAGATTTTTGATTCGCACTTGTAAGTGTTTCTTCTTATTTTTGAAAAAAATGTGAAATGACTGTAAATTGTTGTTTTGTTTAGAAGCTGATGAAGTTAATAAACTGGAAGCTTGATTGATTTCTCTATATTTAATAGAGCTGAACCATGCTGATACGTCCTGATTTTGTGGCATTTGTTTTCATATTTATAAATCTTCTGACAAGCTGCAACTGGATGCAAAGTGTTGCAGGTAAGGTGGTTTTTAATATTCAACTTTCAGTATGTTGATTTTAATCTGTTCTGAGTTCTATTCTGAAATCAACATGTAATAAAACATGAGGTGATGTCATTCTTTTATTTTCCTAACTGTTCTGAGTTGTAACATGTAAAACATCAGAGGAAGATTACTGCTCTGAATAGTAACATATACATAATGGGAAGATCACTGCTCTAGTGGGCACAAAGTACAACAATAAAACCATAAAATTAAAAGCAAACAGATCTGAAAAGATTAACAGTCGAAACTATTAAGATAAGTAATATACAGTAGTCCCCCCTCTTGAAAGACTGCCTTAGAGCCAGCAACCACCCTTCATTCCTGACTACTATACCTGAGTATGGATGCAGCTACACTGTTTACTACCCCTCATCTGCAACCACCCCCGAGAACACAATCACCGACCAGTTTTATGAATAAAATTAAAGGCCATTTGTTGCACATGAGCACCTGCATGGCAAAATTTCATGAGCATGTACTTGACACTTGCCTGTCAGTCTCATTGTTAATTGTCCCAATTGAATACTACTGTTTGTCTGTCGCACATGAGTACCCGCATGGCAAAATTTAATACGCCTGGCACATGCCTGTTAGTCTCGTTGCTGACCATCTTGATTGAATACTACCATCTGCTGTGTCTAGGAAATGGAAGATTTGGATGCCAGAAGAAGGAGTAGCAGTGCTGAAGAGGGCTCATAGTTGGGAAGACAAAAATCAAGAATACAGTGAAGGAAAGAGAAGAAATGTTGAAAACTGGGAGTGTGGGGAGTGCTCAGGCAGAAAATACAGTAAGCCTAGGACAGCAGGTTATGGTGGAATGATTCAAGAGAGAGCAGTGATGCATACAGAAAATTCAGATCATTTTGGCTTTTCTGATTCTAATGGTTGGCTAAACAAGTGGCAGAAGCACCACAATATGCGCATTGCTACCCTGTCTGGAGAAGCTACTGATGTAGACAATTGTAGTAAATGTCTCAAGTCTATGTACACTGGCTACAGACTCAAAGACAAGTTTAATGCAGATGAAACTGATTCTCTTCTATAGAACTTTACCCTCGCACTCAATGGTGGTTAAAGGAGACAAAGTCAAGGGAGGTAAGAAGTCAAAGAACAGAATCAGTGTTTTGCTGGCATGTTCTGGAGCTGGAGAAAAGCTGACACCCTTTATCATATGGAACAGTGCTAAACCTAATTGCTTCAAGGGCTTGGCTAGTCCACTTTGCCTCCGTTTGACATTTTTTTCTTATGGTTATATTCTCATTTTGAACTATATTTTGAAGAAGAACAACCCTCTGTGAAAATCACAGGTTATTTCTCTATTTATTAGCTACCATCTAGGATAAAGTGTTATCACACACACTCATGCTTATATTCGTGTGAATATGAATAAATTATTTTATAAGTTAATCTTAATTCTAGTTGCTATAACAAAACTGTGCAGTGATAAAAAACATTTGTAATAATCACATTTTTACTATGCAATAACACCATATGCTTGCTGGTAAAGGAAAACTAGTTGTCTGTTTAGAAAATGTAAAAACTGAAAAGTATTTGAAAATGTCACAGAAGATAAAAATAATCCTATATAAAAACCACGTGCAATTCACTGAGATCTGGAATAGATGAAAACTACTATTTTTAGCAAGATGCTCGAGGTTGCTCAACAGTAAGCTTGAGGATGTATGATCATTACTAAATATTTAGGGTTCAAACACTACAGTGGGCACAGTATGGATAGTCATTGTGGAGATATGCGCTTGACAACTAATAAACTAAGGAATCCTTGGTATTATCAGCTCGAACCTGCCCTTATTTTTCTATATTTAAATTAATGATAAGCTCATTCCATAATAAGTCTTTGAAGTTATCTTGTTGTTGTTAGTAAGTTTTATACAACAGTCAAACTTGCAAGCTTTGACTTGGGTCAGTTGTAAAAACATGAAACAGACCCAACTATAATGGTTGGAGACGGCTTGAATGGGTAATGAAGAAAAACTTAATTATAAGTTATATATATATATATTAA